GGTCTGTCTGTGCCTACATTTGTGAGCCAAATCAATTGTTCTTGGAATTCTTTACTGCAATGTCCATTTTACGACATGAGCTCAAGTTCATTTGTTATCTTTCAAACGTGTCACATGGCCTGCTCAATCTCATCCACGTTTGTATCTGGACAACATCAAGCGACACCTTACAAATTCTGCGTTCCATTGATCTCTGCATCACAGCAAGTTTCTGTTCTTCTCCTTTAGCGGATGATCAGGATTTAATTTCGTACAGCAGCACAGGTATCACCGCAAGGTGAAACAACACCGCCTTCAAATTACAATACCGCGGCGAGTTTGTTGAAGCTGAACCGAGCTGCTTTCGTGCGTCTGCTGTATTCTCCGCCAGTGCCTTCAGTGAAGCTGAGCTGGTGTCCTAGGTATTTATAGCTTTTCACTTCTTCGATTATTTCACCCTCTATATTGATCTTCGCTGTAGGACTGAATTGATTGTGCATCTACATCGTTTTCGACAAATTTGTTTCGTGTCCTATTTCTCTTGATTTATTCTGTGGCTGCATTGTTATATGTTAAAGCTCAATAGCATAAATAAATAATCACGCAGCACGAGAGGATAATAAATCGTATTGAGAAATGACTCACTTATAACAACGAGATCGAAGTCTTTATGAGCAATACCAACCCAGTTTTCGGCTTCACATGTATAAACACCAGCATCGTTCACAGAAACATTTTCAAATACGAGCGAGTTCCATTGAGCATTACTGGCGTCTTCTGTGGCTAAAATCTATTGTATGAGTCGACAAAAGACGTTCAGAGCAGGTGATGATTGATTACCCGTTGCCATATCGATACAACTTTTTTATTCTATTCCACATAAATTTTCATTCAAACCGAAAACCATGGATATATATGCAGCACATGTTACAAGGCCTAATGAAGTTTCCGCTAACAACAATTCTCTTCAACGACGCAGCATTGCCTTGCAGTCAGCCCAAATTTGTAGAATGAACTGGTTTCTGGTGCTAAGGTAAGGCATTCCCTAGGCCAAGGAAACTCTTGACAAAGCTAGACAAACAAATTATTTTGTTAGATGAGAAGTAAAATGATTCTGGCAAATGTTTGATCGGAGGTTGTCAGGTTCCCAACTGCAATACAGTGGAAAGGTCATCTAATCTCAGAAGTTCAGCGTTGCCGAGTAAAACGTGTCTTACCGAACAGCAAAAATATTAAAACTGAGATGTTCCATAGCTACCTTTCTTTATTACTTGTTCATCCTTCATCCACGCTATCGATGGTTTGGGGACGCCCATTGCCTCGCACCTGCAGTTGGCAGTTGTTATTTAAAGCTTACCAAAAAATACATGTTCTGCAAATATTGGGTTATTCGAGACCTAATGCCGGTTTCAAGATGTCGTGCTTAATCCAGATGTTTTGACAAGAGTTTCTTTTGAGTGTACTTATGCAATGTACAGGGGAGGGGGGAAGAGCAGAAAAAAGTTTCTGCGCCTATGTCGCTTGTCATAAAACTTTTCTGGGTGCCGCTGTTGATAAGAATTTAACAGCAAATTATTTCTAACATGTCTCCCCTCCCCATAAGCAGAAGCAGGCCCTCTTCACTGCCTCACCGTCTTCAGAATATGACGTCATCTGCCATCACCGTCAAGCTCAACGAGGCTTACCGTAATCGCTCCAGCCTGAAGCTGCTACATAATTTCTTCAAACCGTTAATAGGTTGATAGCTCCCTCGAAGAAGTACCTGCGTCTCAGATAACGTCATAATGGCCGACGGTCCGGCAAGGACCCGTTGAGTTCGAACTGTGCACCATGTTCCCTTGGGAAAATCTTGTAATGTGATCGGGTAGGAGGCTATTATGAAGTTTTCTGGTAGATTGAATATGCTCTATAATTTACTATTGAATTCATTCGGTTTGAATTCCGCAAAGTGTAATTGATTCCTCAAGTGTGGAGGGGACTTTTTTGTGACTTTTTTGTACACCTTATATATTCTGGTCAGCCTACTTTACCGTAATTCATTCACCACTACTCCGCATAAAGAAACTCTGTGTGGAGGATGACAAGAAAAGGTGTCATCCTCTACACAGAGAATCGACTATTTACGACTACAAAAAACGATCGCTTCAATTGGGGGTTATTTTTCAAAGCCCTCTTAAGCCGATTCAGTACAAGATCATGCTAAACACCCGTTGGTCTCCCGAAGTCTCTGAAATTAAATGAATCCAATACAGCACCAATAATAACTACGCACACCGACGAGATATAACGGAAATGGCAAGTTCTGCCAGAAAAGTGGAACAACCTCCTTTATGATGACGCTTAGCTACATCGCACAAACGACCTCGCGAAAAGTGTACTAGTTGACCTTCGGAGCTTTGCTTCACATGCCAAATTCACTGTGTCTCTCCAATTTTCACGTTGCTCAACTAGCTTTTTAAGTAGGGTATGACCATAGTGCGTATTCAAAAACTTAAGAAAGGGAAGAACACCCCTCGAAGTGTGTATTCAAAAGCTGAAGAAAGAGAAGAGCACCCTTCGATTTTGAGATCTCCATTTTTTGGTTAAATGCACAGCGGGCTCACATGGGGTATTATGGCGACTGAAACTGAGTGAAAAGAAACCGTCGACAAGAGCCGAAACGAAACCCTCTTTCCCACTAGCAGTGAAGGAGGCTGGCTTGGGAGAGAGGCACGTACAAACGAGTTTTCCGGATATTCCATCGGTTGATACGGCAATCAACCTAGCTGATTTCACACGTTATGCCAGCCACGCACCACTTCCGGAGGTGGGCGGGCATAGCTGATGCAGTGTAGCTATCGCTGTAAGTAGGCCAGGGGCCTTGTCGCCGCGCCATTTCGATTCAGGAGCCTGGCGTCACCCTTCTGATTCTTTCTTTTCTGCATTCCAGGCCATATTAGGAATGAAAAGACTTTCCATTAGCACCTTATCCTGACTTGTGGCTTTAGCGGAATACCTGAGCTCCCATGTAGATCTCAATAGGATAATTGAAGGATAATATGGGATCTCACAATAGATTTTATCCTGACTGACAATGTTGGCTTCGAGGTTGCAGATGTCCTTTGAAGATGGAGTTCAGAAAACAACATTCTTTGCTGAACAACTTACATGAATATTAGGTCATGCAAAAGTATTGGCTACTCACTTTCGCAAGCAAAGAAATCTTTGAGAACCGTTTAGCAGAACCGAGAGCGAGCCTCCAGCTCAAAGTGTGCTTAATGGATAGTGAAAGCTGGATTGTTAAAGTCCAAAATTCGAGAACTAAAACTGAATTTTTTTGGCTTGGTGTGGTTAAGAGTTCCCCACACCAAGCCAAAAAGTTGATCCCAATAGACTTACATCTGCTCATGTCGCTGTCAATTCTCATACAATGAGGAGGAACTGGGAAAGGGCACCGCTGAATTTTTTTCTAAAGTCTCAGGATTTTCACACTAACGATACTTAGACCAACCCAAAAGGATAACATTCACAAACCAGTATGCTACCGATAATGATGGTACATGCAGTTGCCAATTGTCGATTATTGTAAAGAAAGAAAAATAAGTTCGGAAATGAAAGATGGTAAAAACTTTTGCGACAGTACTGTTGTACTACCTTGTACCTTTGATTCCGCATACATTTGCATGTGTATATAGGCATACTAACGTATACGTGCATACATAATTTACTCACCGCAGTATAGCTGCTTCGCCATGCTTCACCACCTCCCTTTTGGTATTATCGACGATCCTTGGTGGAACTAAAAGAATTCGTGTTCTTCACATGTTTTTTCAACAGACCCAGAAAGTAATGGGTGAAGGTGGCGAAATCATAAATGACAAAATCATGCAATCCTACATCGGTTTTGTATGCTGAGCACTTCGCATCTCTTCTTATTGCCCCTTCTAAGTAGCATATACTACTAGGTTGATGCATGATATTGCGGCTTTTATCAACAAGTTTTAATCAGAAAACGACAAAAACATTTGACAAAACATGTTTAATCGATTACGGGGGAACATGCTCACCACCCACTTCAAGATCTTCTTCTCATTTGTATGGAGTCAGTCCATCCCACGAGCAAAAAAGTCAGGATTCTTGGCGTGAATTTTGATCGTTCGCCACGCTCGCCAGTTTTTTTTGTTACGATCGATTGACGTGGTAGTCTGTAGGAGTGGTCGGTGAGGGTGGCACCCTTTATACGAAGAGCTGCTTATGATCTCTTCTTGTCCTGCATTATTTCGCCCAATGTATTGATTTGTACTAATGCCTCGAAGATAAAACTTCAACTTTAACACTAATTAATCAATTTCTCAGAGAATGAATCAGCAGCTTTCACGGGCCAGGTCTTTTTACCACTGCGACCAATACTTTCGAGTTGAGTGAGAACTGAAGTGATGTAAAACACTGCGGCGAAGATTCATAGTGTAGCTTGACTCCCACAAAAAATCATAAACGCACCCAACGAATTTGGCATCCCAAATATAATAGATATGTACCTTTCGCGTGTTCATCAATTAACAACGACGCGAACTTCGCAAATAAAAATAATTCTACCTGAGAAACGTAGCTCATGAAGACTGTAATGTGACTCTCGCAATGCGCGTGATACAAAAAGAGTGCTCGTGAATTGAAAAAGTTGGGAGGTTTTTCCTATCGAAGAATTTCAACACATCGAAGATGAAGTCATCTATGACAAGGCGATTTGCGAACCAGATGCCTTCTGAGTGATGAAAACGCAAATAAGCCAAACGAAAGAATATATCGCAAATTCAAGCAAAGAATAGCAGCGCTTCTCCTCATCCTGTCCGAAAATGGCTTATCTCCAAAACTGCTCCTGCATCGGTCCACATGGCGACATACAGCCTTTTGGAATATTTGATTGATGACGTTATTTCAATGCATCAGAAAGCCGTGACAGACAAAAACGTCGAGTTGAATTCGAAAAGAGACGTCACGTAGGGTTTGGAATGCGCCCTAAGAGGTTCGAAATGCATCCGGTTTCGGTCTGGAAACGTCTTATTCAGAAAGGAAGTGCGCCATATCGGAAAGGGTATAGGGAAGGCTTAAATGAGTATGATAAGAGACCTCAATCACCATGCGATAAATTAAAGATAACCTACCGCCCACATGGAGATGAGTAGTTCGGGATGTGTTTCCCGCGGAATTTTCTGCAATGCAAACGTATTTCCCTTCATCATCTAAGTTCGTAGAGAGAAGGTTCACTATTGTGTTGTCTTTGTTGAAAACAACGTTCGATGTTGGCAATAAAGTGACATCGTCCTAAAAAAATACTTTCTCAATTCCGCGATAAAAATGCTCCATGGGTGTACTGGAACGATTATTTTGTCTTCTAAAATGTTAAAATTATGAATCATATTTCAATTGCGCTTCTTAGGGACAAAATGACGAAGCTGACAGCCTGAACGTAGGCCCAAATGTTGTGGCATATAAACTTAATCATCAATCTTTTTGGAGAGCTCATTCTAACGCGTGGCCAGTCATTATACTGTAAGGCGAGCAGCTACTACATTGTTCAAGATGTTCGGATCGATTCGTCAACAGATTGGAATCACAAAACGACAAATCAGCAATACTACTACACTGGAAGCAGAAGAGGAACATGTGACATACTACAAATTTAACATCTCCCTAACGGCGAACTTCTCAGGGAATATAAACATCATACATCTGCTCACGACTCTCTCTACAGCTCATATTCTCGTTCCAACGTCTTTGAAAAAAAATTGCAGTGCTCATAGCCGCTAACTCGAAGAAGATGAAATACAATAAATAAACAAAACAGAAATAAAATGTATCAGTTTGTATGGAGACTTCCGAGATATCCTTCAAGGATGATGTCTCCGTTGTGAAAAGACTCGATAAAGAGGCCGCTCATCAAAGAAGGACTCATAAAACGTGAGCCGGGTTTGAGCCATAAGAGGAGTCTGACACCGATTCTTAATGCTTTACAGGCTCATCCACCGCACATCAACCTCAATTATAGTCCTCAACACGAAAACTTCCCTCATCAGCTCCAACTGCAAATCCATCGCAGTACCTCACAACAAAACATCACCTACAAACATATTCGCAATGGCACTCATGGTTCTTCTTCATCTCTTTACACCACTCTTCATGACAATCTTATGGAAGTTCACATTCCTCTTCATCATCACTATGAAATCGTTTTTTTCCTGCCTCAAATTGATAGTTTCATTTTTCCCAATTGGGCATTCGAGCCACTTGGCTCTGACATACCTTGTAGTCTTGAATATGTTTTCGTGCTCAAGCCTTGGCTCCGTTGCTTATCGCTGTGCTGCTCGCCTTGTGTTGCTCACCAGCTGGTCTATGTTGTTAATCTTTCCATCTCGTGTGCTTTCCACTAATTATTAAAGCGGAGCGGACTTTCGACCCCATCGATTTGATTTGATTTGTAGTGTTGACTCTTTTTCCTTTCTCCTTCCATCAATTTTGCTACCGTTTTATCTTTTCCTACATTGGTATGATCCCATGACGAATGTAGCACGCCCATGAGCGTAACCCATGCTAAATCTTCTCTACTGAGATTAAGAACGCTCACGTGAAGACAACAAACGTATAGCGTTCCAACAACTTCATATCAAGAAGAAGAAAAGTCTATGGAAAAAAGTCTATGGAGTCGCAGCAATCTTGTGGTCAATCTTACCCACTCAAAGCTACTCCGACGTGTTTCTATGAAAAGCGACACGATTTGCTGCACAACAGTAATTAATAAAGAGTCATATTCCGGAACAACCCTTCTCACGCTTTACCTGATCGGTCAATGAGCCTGCTTATTACTCAGAACACGAACCAAAAACTAAGTGATGGGCTATTGCTAAACGACTTGAAAACATCGTCAATCTTTGTCAACAAAAAACGGAATACTCCACATGGAACAATGAATTTCAATTGGAATCACGTCACCAATGCTGGAAAACGAAAAGCTGCCATAACAACATTTGCCAAGAAATTACACCATACACAATTCTAAACGACTTCAGCATCGTTTCAAACTCGAATCCACGATACCGTTCTGTGTACCGCGTTGCAAATGATTTGTAGTGTCGTTTCTGCATCTATTGAGAAGAAACGTGCCATTTGACGACGTGCTCAACGTCATTACACACACCACACCCACACACTGTGCGGCGGTGTTTTGCTTCTGTCAATTCTGTATTGTTCTCTTTTTTTCTTTTTTTCTTAATTCTTAAGTCTTGAGCCATGTTTAGGCCTTTGAAAACGACGTGAAGGTCGAAACGTTGGCCGAATAAAGATTCCACTTATAAACCTCGTGGCTGAAGCACAAATTACACAAAGTTTAGTTTCCATTCATGGGTTCTCCTTTCAACCTTTTCTTGTCCTTCAACACTCTCGACCACCGGAATTGCATCAATTTTATCGATTGGTAGACATGGCTAGAGGTGCCAAGAAAAATCAGTGCAAGAGGACATCGCTCTGGAAATGCCGCTGTGGGCAGCAAGGATGATTGAGGCATATGAAACGTGCTGTGGAAGAATCGAGATAGCTCTGTCTTCATCCCTGGATAAATTGGTCGCTGAAATATCTAGGATTGATCAAGTTCAGCAATCGATCCTGTCGCGTCTGGAAGCCATCGAATCCAGCATTCAAGGCCTTGAAAGAACCCTTCCTCCATCGCGCAGAGCACTCTGTATCTACCTTTGTCAAAGTGCGAGCGGATGAGCCAAAGATTGAGGACAAGCTACGACAATACGACGATAGCCTGGATTGGCATCGGAGAGCAAAAGGACGACATCGCAACCCGCAAGTTTGACTACGAGGCGCTAAAGGAGGTCACTGAAAGTTTAAGCGATAACGAGTTGGCCTCTGAGTTTACGAAGAAACCACCACTCTGCTTCGATACCCGAAAGGCCAGCCTAGAGGAGTCGCTGGTAGAGCCTGGATAATAAGATTGATCTCCCGAGCAAGTGTCTGAAAGACCGACTGCTCGCCCACATGAGGTCCGGACGACAAAGCTTGAGGAAGCAAGCTGGAGAGTTAAACAAGGAAGCAAGGAAGCTTGCTTTCTAGGTACGTGACTTGGAAATCCACGAACCTAGAAATCCAAGAGAGCTACCTGTTCGATCCACAATCCCTTCTGAAGGCAACGTCTGAAATTCAGCGGAAAATGCAACTGGACTCCGGCTCCTCCTTTCATAGGACGATTTCGATGCGACGAGATTCTGATTCTCTCAGCATTGAGAGCAGTCCAGCACGCCCAGGCACTAGCTTCTAGGATCAGGTCCTCTTCCATCTGGATGTGCCTACGAGACAGCTCCCTGATTTTCGCGATAGGTTAATTTTGATCTATGCACGTTCAGTAAACAATAAATTACCCGAGCTCCAAGACCTCTTATTTACCCACCCCAAAGGAATCTTCATCACTGAGTTATGGTGCAAACCCCATGTTGTACACGACTCCACTATCTGTGCAAATACCCTTACAGAATTTTTCGCTGCGATCGTGAGGGTGACATGATGGGAGGTGGGGCTCTCGCTCTCCTTCACAATTCCATTTCTTCAGTCATGATTTCCGCCTTGAACCTTTCGCCTTATATTTAGTGTCCGACTCTTCATGTTACCGTAGCTACCTTGAACGTCATTGTGGTTGTTTCTTACCGCAGTCCTTCTTCCTCAGTTGACGACTATCGATTTTTTATTGATTACTTGGAAGAATCAAGATAAGCCAGAGAAGCATTCCAGTGTTAGTCCTTGGAGATTTCAATCTTGCCGGTATTTCTTGGAAATCTCACCATATCCCTGACACTGAGGTACCAAACTGTACTACAGGTGCGCTCCAGTACAACTTTGCAAATTCGCACAACTTTTAACAGTACGTTAATTTTCCAACCCATGATAAAAATATACTTGACCTAGTTTTCTCGAATCACTCTGCTCTCCTTGCCAATGTAGCGGTAGGACCCCATTCTCTACATCCGACCATGCTTCTGTATCATTCACACTGGTGGGTGATACGCCTTGCACTTTGCGCGCCGAAGCGAAGAAAGATTTTGGTCATGGTGGATATGAAAGCATGTGTAAACAATTAGTTCGTGTTAATTGGCAAATTATTTTCGATTCTTTCGAAAACTCTAGCAATGCTATGACGCGTTGTCTGGTTTCCGTCATGGTTTGATAAAAGAATTCGTGCCTTCTTTTCCAAGCAAATCAAGCTCAAGGAAAGAACCTTACCAGATTTCATTTTTGAAAAAACGTGTAGCACGACTGTACAGAAACGGTTTAGGGACTTCGAAATTCAGACTATCTGAAGGCTGTTAGAACGCTGAAGAGGAAACTAGAAAAAATCAAAGAGAGATATGAAACGAAAGTTAGCCTTATCCAAAAATCCTAAAAGATTTTGGAAGTACTGTTCTACTAGGCTGAAGGATACTTCAAGCATAGGCACAATTATGAATGAAAATAACGTGGAATGCACTCGTGATTCCGACAAAGCTAAGATTTTTGCAAATTATTTTTGAACTTTTTATAGCTTAAATTCAGTTAAAATCAATTTTGAACCGACTCGCAATGAATATACTCTTGATTGGGTTGACATTGCGGGGACGTTTACCAAGCGCTAATAAAATTACCCTTGCGCCCTCACCTTGCCTGATATGCTGCCTTACATTTTTCTCCGCAAAGCTGCCCTAGGGCTTGCTCTGCGTTGACTATATTGTTCAACAGTATTCTTTTGAAAGGTGATGTTCCAGAGATTTGGCGCCTGGGATGGGTTAAGCCTATCACAAGAAAGGCCCTAAAACGGATTATCGAAATTACAGGCCTATTTGTTTGACCTCTTGTGTCAGTAAAGTAATGGAAAGAATTGTATGCTCACGCATTAAGGAATATCTCTCCCGAAAATGCCTCACATTTCAATCAAGTGTTGTGGTATATGAAACCTTATCCCCGTTCAGCTGCGTACGCCATCCGCGACGCATCACAGCGCGACTGCCCGCGTTATATCTAAAACCAGTGCCGCAGCATCCACTTTCCTTCCGCCTCTTCCACTCTTTCTTCCCGGCTTCTTTTCTGAAGAGAGCAAAACTGCAATTTTCTCTAGTGAATATTGTGATCAATCTTTATAACTAATTTGCGCAATACCATCCCCCCCCCTCTGACACTTCCAGGACCAGCAAGTCAGCCCTAAATTCGGATTACTCAATGGAAAATTGCATGATTACTGTCGCGCGGCCGACCAGTCGTCACACGGACTTGTCGCGAGTTGCATCCCGAGGAACAGG